TCAAAGCATTTGGATATGCAATTTGACCTTGAAAAACTTATAACTTTACATTTTAAATTACGCAAATAATGTAACGAACGAATTGAAAATAATCTCCTCTTTTGATTGTCAGCTTAACTAGAGGACATCTGAACAAATCATTAGTTTCAAAGAAGGTCATAGATAAGTAACACCTTTTATTCAATCACAAATAGGATTCAAATTAGCTTGGCAAGACTTAGACGGTGTTAGCTATCTCCACACCCCGGAGGTTACAAGGAGACACAAGGAGCACACTATCATCATACTGCAATGTTAAGTATAAGTGCCCTTGTTTATCAAAATTCAATTTAGCCGTCCCAACCAAACTGTTTACCTGTCACATATTGTGCTTGTAGTCTTGTCAGTTCATTTCGCAACAGAAATCACTGCTATGCGGTGCGGTAATCCGGGATCCCCGTCAATCAAAGCACTCTCCCAAAGCCCTAAATCCGGGATACGTATTGACTTGCTACGTCACGAGTGATTGCTTGCTTTTACCATCCGAGTTGGGTGGTTCATTTTTTTTAATCTGAAACGTTGCCAAACGAGCAGACGGTTCACCTAACGTTAAGTGAATACTGCCGCCCATGGACATCTGCTACACCCGAGTGTTCCAGATGCGTTGACAACCTTTTGAAAATTGGGCTCCGGCCACCTCACTCACCAGATGAAACGCGAAAGTATTTTACTTCCACTTTTACGTCAGTCTTATGTGAGGTCGTGGTACTTACCCGGACGAGCCTGCCTGGACCCGGACGTGCAACAGCCGAGGCTACTGCGTGGCCCTACCACCACGTTACCACTTCCTTCTTCAAGAACAATAATTGTCTCGCATACGAGTTTATTCATATACAATTACTTGTACCGGTAGAAGACAGTAATGCGATTTTATCATCGACATTTGTGCATTTATTAGGGTTCGTGTTAATTAATGTGGGTGTCATATATATCTAACACACTTGAGAAGTGAAACTTAACCATCATCGTTATCCAGAATACAACCACTGCGAAGGCACCGAACACTTGATTCCTTAAACAATAAACAGCTTTTTAATTTAGCCTTCGCGCACCTATTATTTATCTGTGGTCCTACAGACACGAAAATTCAAAGAGGCGCTTATTGCGTATACATATAGATGACCAGGTAAACAACAGCTCGTCCAAAGTTTCAAATCGCGCACCCCTCAAACCCGTAAACTCGCAAACTTTCAAACTTGCTAAAGTCATGTCGAACAATCGATGTTTCTTCGAGTACTCACTTCCTTAACATCTTGTACGCCCCCAATTAACTGCGACAGTACCGAGAAACTTTCCGTTAGCTTGGAAATCTCAGAGGCGAAAGAATTTCCGGCTAATTAGAATGGAACACGTGTTCGATGTAGAAGGAAAATATCGAGAGGAATAACACGAGCACCATGGATGGAGTAGGTACAGATTACTGATTTGTACTCCTCTCGATTCTGATTCTCTTACGTCTCTCACAACTCAATAGTTCCGTTTATTTTTACTTCGATACTTATTTTCCAAAATAACATATTGCGTTTTATTGGCAAAGTCACTATTTGGTGGCTTTTCATTGCGCGATGACAACCCTCCGCTCGGCTGTGACAGCTGGAGGAAAGTGGCGCTTTCAAGAAATAGGAAAATATTATCTGAAGATATTGAACAGACCTATTTTCAAAGATTCCATAGCGTTTTAACTTTTAACTGTGGAGGTTTCCATTGATTACTTGTTTGATAACAGCAAGTGTCACTAGTATCCCACATGTCTTAATAAAACTTTCTTACGCAATTGTATCGTTCACGGTCATGCCGCTGTTGAGAATTTTTCAAATTCCATACAGCATGCCCGTTCGAGTTATGTGATAGTTTCATATAACCGTGTGTAGTCGCGCAAATACGGGAAAACGTTATACTAGACCACAGTTATTATCTTCTGACAGAGGATGCCAACTGAGCAAGAGAAGTTAAACAATTAGGATCGCTGGTGACAGTTGCAAAGCGAGAGACGTTATGAAGTATTTGGTAGCATATGATTTAGTGAGACTGGGTAAGCACACAAACATTTTGAATAGAGATTTGATACAATGTTCTCGGAATTGAAAACCCGAACATCTCTGGTTAAAATAATCGTTTAATATTTAGCAAAGATCTATCAACAACTAACTAATCAACTAATCAACTTACAAGCGTTATACAGCTGTTTATAAACATAGCGTGAACCACTAATTGCTGCAGAACTAGAACTTCTTAATGATTTAACCATTTAAAGCAGCAAGCAACCTCGTAATTAAACTTAGTGGATTCATACTCCCACAAGACCTATAAATTAGTTATTAAGTGTCCTAGATCGTAGGTCAGGGGCGTATTAACCCTATCTCTGCAAAGTGTGAATTTCTGGGAACATGGCTCTTTAATTTCATTGTAGCGTCCTTTAGAAAATTTTTGTCTATATTTTTGATCAATTCTTATCGTTGTTTGCGGCTTGTCAGACTTGACCTTGGCGTTCGGTTTATATGTCAGAGGGCTTATTTCACCACGCGACCCCACCGGGTATTGGCGGACTTACATGCCTTTGAAATTTACCGCCATTATTATTCGCCACTTACCATAAGATGGGATGGCAGTCTGTGCCAGTACTGGCCAGCTCAAAATAAAAAAATACACAGAGGTTTCCTTACGATGTTTCCTTCACGGTTACTCATCCAGTTCCTCGTGCTCGAGCTCACAGCGCACCATGTTTGTAGTTCCGATTCCCTGGCTGATTGGAAAACATACAGCCCGTTATTGTGACAGAAATGTTAAGGTCCCGCCGAAAATTCTCAGTGACATATCAATAGCCCGAGAGCGAAATACAATTGAATGTCGGAGAACAGCGCTCGTACCGCGGGCCGTCCCGAAGCGTCACAGATTAAATATAAACTTTCCCCCGGTGTTTGCGCAGACCGGCTGCAATATCCGCTGGGAGGGCAACTTCGTAGACGGCGATTTGTCAGCCCCCGTCGCCGATCCGCCGGCAGTCGGTTTTTTTCCGAAACCGAACGGTTTATTACACTGGAGCTTTGATAGCGGCTGAAGCTAGATCACTACATAGTACAAAAAAGTCATCCCGCTGGCTGTCTGTCCCTATGTATGCTTAGATCTTTAAAACTACGCAACGGATCTTGATGCGGTTTTTTTTTTACTATATTTCAAACGAGACCATTATAAGACAGCCATAACCGTTCATGTTGGTCGATACAGCATTGCTAGGTTTGCCGGTCTTTGCATTCATCATAATAAGTCTTGGACTGCAGGACTGGCCTCTCGCAAATTTAGTACTGCTTTAGCACGTGCTCCGTCGTGAAGCAAGCATTTTAATGAAGCCAGAATCTCTGAGAAACATGCATAAAGATGGCGGACCGTTGTCCTTACCATCAAAAGTTTTGCTGTGGGAAAAGTATAAGCTGCTACTTGTTTTTAATATTTCGATTATGGAATATATTCTTCAATCTTTTGAGCGAATAGAAGTGTTCCATTCCACATTTTTAATATTCGAAAATTCTTCGACGTTCGCCCACCAAGGCGTGTTCAGTGAGCAATAAGCCACGCGGCTGTGAAATCTACGAACTCCGCCAAATGTAGCGGATAACATGGAGATAAATCAATACGCCATTCCTATTATGAATGAACACTTTTTGAGATCTGTCTTTTGAGGTCAGAATCACGATTGCTTTTCGTCCTATATGATAGTTCAGAATTTATTTTCATAAATAACATCCTGTGTCTGACATGAATGTATAATACATGCACACATGTATGGTTCATAAACGTTTGTGACACAAACATGTTGCTTAACAAACATTTGTGGCAAATACAAGTGGGTTAACAAACATTTCAAAAACTTTCGGTGGTCAATGACATATCGAATTCTGTATTGCTTATGATTCGACGGGGTCGCGGGTGAGGCCTATAAGGCCCGCATAATAACTGCTCACGGCGCATAAATGGGCCGTATGTAGAAAAGCTACGAAGACCACAAAAAGAAACACGACCTAAGAAATATAACACATTTCCCTCGGCCGACGGAGCGGTAATCACATTTGCTTTTGGTCGTTTCGGCCCTTTCGTACTCTTAATCGTGTTATTTCGGGACCTCGGAGCGGTTTTGGGCCCACGTTAGGAGAGGAAGGCGGGTAAATTTTAAGGTTTCTCTTCAAACGGACCGACTTTTTAAAGCCTTATTATTTACGCTTCAATTACCCAACGAAAACGATTTTGTCATCCCTTTAGGTTTGAAATTAAATAGAAATTACCTTAAACGAAGGTCAATGTGCTGATTTTCAAACAATCAACCTTTAAACAATAGACTGGATTTTTTATATGAGAAGGTGGCAACCTTGCTGACGGTTCACCTGATGTTGAGTGATAACCGCCGTCCATAGACATCTGCAACACCCGTAGGGTTGCAGATGCGTTGCCACCTTTTAATAATGTGGGCCCCGGCTACCTCACTCACAAGACACGGTGAGGTTTAACAGTTTCACTTCTTCACTTCGCGCAGGTCTTCTGCGAGGTCGTGTTTCCCCGGACGGACTTGCCCATTCGTGCAACAGCGAAGACTGTTGCCTGGGCCTACCATACAATTCGGAAGCTCCCGCTACCATTTAAAACACTGGCGAAATCCAAAGCCGGAGCCTTCGGGTCACAGCAACTTATTGGTATCTCGAGAGTAATCCTAAACGCAACTTAAATAAATCACTGGGCCCCCATTGAGGAGTTTTCAATTAATTCAATTAAGTTCGCCGACGCCCGAACCAGCGCGCCTCGGCGAAAAGTTGTTACCAACTTCCAACTTCGGTGCCCCGCTAGTGCCGTGTGCACTCAATTAATTTCTTTCCAGGCGCCCTCACCTAACATGCTCGTAAAACTTGTTGCCACGCCGCGCCGCGCGGCAAATTGGAAGTTTTACAACTCGCTTATCGGTTCGCGATTTTTAAATGGAGAGGCTGAAACGTAATCGCTTCGGCAAACCGTTATTCGCCGACGATTCGGAGGCTCGGGTTTCTGAGGAAATTGTTATACAGACCAAGTTTAGCTTGCCCGCTCGCCGCTTATCGCTTGCGCGGCGTATCGGCCGAGCGGAAAGGAGGAAGGAAGTGCGCAAGGGACAATCGGAACCCAAGATAGTTGTCCTATGCGTACGACAGAGTAGCGTTTAAGAAATATTGTACGTTGAATGCCAAACTTTATAGGGAATATATTGGTACGAATACGGTATTTTAGCGGAATAAGTTTCGCTTTATGATATTAAAGCATTGTGTTGTTGTACGAAAAATTTAGCATCTTAAAGTCAATGTTTGAATTTCCAACGCTATAATTTTATAGCGTCCATTATAAAGGGTGGAACATATTTGATCTGATGAATACCCAATCGTGGATGCCATTTACAGTCGGTTTAAATAGGTAATAATTTTAATTTTACCGGGTGTGTCTATACTTATATATTTCTATAATTATATATTTACGTGGTCTCTACGACAGCGGAGTCTGCTATCCGTGTATAGATACTAATCTGACTATACTACTAGACTATATATGAAGTAATATGAAGAAAAAAAAAACTACACTATCACTCGCTTACTACTTTTTATACAATTCTGATGCATCTAATGCAAGTATCTTCTACTTGAACGTCCTTGTTTGAATATCGAATAGTGCGTTCGTTTTTATTTAAATTCGTCGGTTATTTGAATATCGAATCAAAGCCCACGCCGCCTGGTCTTTCCGCTCAACGTGGGCGGCAAGAGGACGAATGGTCATGAATGGACATAAATGGTCACGAATGGACATGAGTCGTCACGTACCGATTAGTACACAGTACAGCCGTACAGCAACAAGTCATTAAAGGCGCAAACAGCGGGCAGGTGCGGTGCGTGACTCGATGACGTCAGCATTTCACTAAAAGCGGTTTGTTTTGCCAGACGGGCCCCACGCAAACTTGACGCCGTGTTCACAGCACGTTGGTACGTCTCCCATTACATACATCCGTTTGCGAGGTGTACGCTTGGGCACAGGTTTTCCTGCTTGTTCATTAGTTGTGGTAGGGCCATGCAAAAGTCCTCGCTGTTTCACGAATGGGCAGGTCCGTCCGTAGTCCGCAGTTTTTGACGCTCAAATATTTTGCCCTTCGTATTTATTTCCGTTGGGTTGCGACTTGTTATAAAATCTCCGTTGCGCACCAGCAACGGTCGACGGGGCAAAATTTAACGCCTCGATAGACACGCGTCATTAGTTAAGCGTGGTTAAAAAACAGTCCGACATTTATGACCAACAGCAGTAGCTTGCTTCGAGTGAGAAACCTGCTTAATTAACGAAACTACCTACGAATACACCTAACTGTTGTTTTGTAATCACGAATTAATTTAACTGTGGTGGTGTGGCCATTAATGTTAACTGTGGCAGGGGCCCGCGACAGCCTTCACTGTTGCACGAATGGGTAATCCATCCGGGGAAGTACCACGACCTCCTAGAAAACCGGTGTGAAGTAGAAGCGTTTCTACGTTTCTTCCGGTGAGTGAGGTAACCGGGCCCACTTTATTAAAAGGTGGCAACGCATCTGCAACCCTACGGGTTATCACCTAACATCAGGTGAACCACCAGCTCGCTTGCTGACTTCTCACATAAAGAAAAAAATTAATTAGTATTACTTTTATGTGATTGTGGTGAAGTTCTTTATATTATAAGCAACAATACACTATAGCCTTTAAGTAGCACGTAGCAATCGATCGGAAAGGTAGACGCAGGCAGTTCGATTCACGTTTTTTTGTTCGCATTATGAACGGCGAGGCGAACGTCTTCAAATGGCGGGAAATGTTGGCGGCAAAATGTTAAAGGCTAGCTGAGAATTAATTGTCCGAAGAAGGCGAAGGGAACTAAGTCGTGAAATTCCGCTCCTTGAGGTATTCCACATAAAACTGAGCTTGTGAACATTGGTGAAACCGTCATCTCTTTATCCGACTGTATATAGATTACGTTTCTGCGTCGTAATTTATACTTATTATTGTTGATAGGTAATTTAAAGAGCTTTGCACATGACAAGATTTTAATCATATAAAATATGAGGGAGAGAAATCAAACGCGTTCAAAGAATCATCAAACCAATTAAAGTTGGAGTCCCTCAAACTTTACGCAATATAGAGTTGCCACATTATAACTTGGGTTCGAAACGGTTGACAGTTGAATTCGTGAAGATGCTTATACTAAGTTAAAAAGGTTTTATTTTAGTTTCAAACTGATCCCACGACACAAAATATAGCTACAACGAAGATACAAAGCACGCTAATGTCGGTGGACACGGTCAGAACGCTGTCTCACCCACTTTACAACTCGTTCGATGTTCCGTTCAGGTGAAATCGATTCGAATCGTTTCGCGACTGCTCGTTTGCGTGTTTAATGATCACAATTCATAGTGAATTATGCGACTTTGTCTCATTCCGGTTTGTTTATGGACGTTCGTGTTGCGGCCGACGCTTTATTGTGGACATATTTTATCCGTTTTCAGCGTTGATTAATATTGTAATGTCATAATTTATCGTGAAACGCGCGTTATTTTTTCCCCTTGTAGCTGTAATGCTTTTTAAATCGTATACTCTTTGTATACGGCCAGACGTAAATTAAAAATTAAAAAACGTTAAACTAACTTCCCGCGCAATTTATTTCAACGGATTAAAAGAGTCGGTGACGTCTATCTCCTTTTTCATCGTCGCCCTGCATAATTGCGCTTAATTTGTATTCCGTAATAGAGTTCGCGATTGCGTATCTAGAGAAATGATATCACCGCAGACGCGACGATTTTTTGCCGCCCGACTCGTTCAGAGACGTCATTAAATTGCAACACAGCGACAACGTTATCCGAGCTTTGACACTTTCGAAATTCGACTCTATGCCTAGGGTGGGTAGGGTGTGACGAATGCACGAACAATAAAGTTAATCCATATCGAGCAACCTGACGTGACTAATCGAATCAGAATTAGCGCGGGTCGCGGACAATCCGTTTCCGTTGAAAAGCGTCCCTTGTTGTTGAGTAGCAGAGTTTAAATTACTACGCACGGTTGTTGCCACGATAAAAACACGCGCTGTGTTTGGATAGTTTTATAGACGATTTTGCAATAAAGCGCAGCTTCCTGTTGTCTGAACAGTAGCGGGCGATCGCGGCGCGCGTTTCGAAACTATATACACGAAATTGACTAACTTTAAAAACACAGATCGGCCTGTTTACTTCGTAGCAATTTTAGAGTTAAAGCGGGAAACGATTTCAATCAGAAAATTTATATAAAGTTCCTAATGAAAAGACAGAAAGAAAGGGGAGGAGGGGAAGACTATTTTATTCTCTTTCATTAATTGTGCGAAAATTTCCGTAAGATATAAAATGACATTTAAATATTAAAATTTTTCTTTTTCGAAGGAATTTGCTGTACAACCCTTAGGGACACAGAGACATTTGATTTAAACCTTTTCACAGTACGAGTAGTATTGTTTTCTTGATTTTACGCGAATATTCTACATATTAAATGAAACTACTTTACGGATTTAGGGTTCGAAAGGTCGGGAATTTAAATCAAAATAAAAAACGCGATAAAATCCGTAAAGTTAAACATTTAATAAGTACGAGTAGTATCTAATTAATTGATAATAATCTTCTGATTGAAATATATCTGAAAATTGTAGGTTAACGCAGAAGATAATGTTTTTGAAGAAAAATAGAAGATTCAATATAAAACAATAACAATAGGCAACAGAAAAGAATAAAAAATCAAATAAAATGTGATAAAATTAAAAAAAATCTAAAATCTCGAACACGATGATGTTTAGTAATTTCTTAGAAATACTAAATGAGACTATGTTTACGGATGTATCGCGTTTATTTTTAGTTTTAATTCGGAATTAAAACTAACAATCCGTAAACACAGTTTCATTTAGTATGATGTAATTTTTGAAATGTGTCACACGTATTTAATGTTATAAAGAAACAGAACTAGTAATATGCTAATAAAAAGGGCTTCAGCAGCAATTAGAACAAAAGAGAAATAACCCCTCCCATAAACATTTAATTAAGGGCATCTGTGAGTTATAATCTAATATAAAGCATAGTTATGGTTTAATAAACAGCGCGGCATTGTTACTAGGGGCGCCTGAGCCATTTTTAAGCGGCGAATTAAGTTACCTAGACTCACGCATTGTTTAAGGGGCTAAGCCTCAAAGCCGTCCGCGATAACGCCTTTGTTTCAAATGCGAATTTACAATGCAAATATAAGGCGCGGAGAATAAATATTAAACGCGGCCCAAAATAGGTGGTTACGCGTTAATCATCACGCAAAGAGTTCACTCGTTAAACGGAGTTTAACACGCTCGGAGCAATAACATAGAGTTTAATAATGTGGATTTCGTTGAAAGGATATTTAACGGATGTTTTCGCCTTCGTAGCAAACGTGTAAAAGTTTGTTTGTTAGTTTAAAAGAACTGTTCGTCATTAATCTATTACAACTATGCGAGTGTTTCAATTACAATTGGTTTATTTGTCACTTCATCGGTTTCATCAATACATCAATTCATTGCGGTTGTCGTGTTCCAATTAAATACCGATGTAAACAATTATTTGTGATTCAGCCCAGAATAGATTGTCGTTTTGTTTTGTTATTACATGTTATCCTTTAAACGAGCAATTCTTGTAATAATAATTGGAATCTCGGAAACGGCTCCAGCGATTTTCATGAAATTTAGTATGTGCGTAGATTCGGGGGCGAAAAATTAATCTGACTACGTTTCATTTTTGGAAAATGTCGTTTTATCCCTGTTTTCAGGGAATGAAAAATATTATTCGAATACGACGGTAAATTTCACCGCAAAAAAAAAAGTTAAAATAGCTCGGTCGGTAATCGGGCGGCCGCTAACAAACTGCCACGAAACAGAAGGCCGTGGTTCGTATCACGATCATTTACACACTTATTTTTTTACTTTTTTTTCGATTCCAGATCATTGTTTTCTTTATCTTTTATTTTTTGTCGATTTGGTATTTTGTTATTTTTTCCCCTTTTTTTTAAAGTTCTTTCTTTTGTGAAAAACACCAGTTTCACTAGTATTTTCTTATTATTACGTCGGTAAGATCGAAACATATTATGCATATTTCATTACTTAGTAATTTTGTATCTAAATGTAA